GATAGATAGATAGATAGATAGATAGATAGATAGATAGATAGATAGACAGACAGACAGACAGACAGACAGACAGACAGACAAATAGTTTTTCCCTTGCAGAATAAAAAATACTATATTATCAAAGGATTTGTATTCTCTTGACATATTAAAATCTATTTTCTCAACTGTGAAAAAGTTTTTTTCTTTAATATAAGTAGCTCCTATTTTTAAAAAGACTTTAAAAATGTTTATCTGTGTTCTGATTACATGTGAATCTTCAGAATAGAACTTAAATTCATTTTTACTTCTTATTGTTTAATCAACAAATATAACATTATTGTTACTACTTTGAAATCCCTAAGAAACCTCAATAGTTCACAAATAAAATAATGGCAATATATAAGAATGCAGATGGGTGCAAGGTTTTAAATGTTTGATTTTTTTTATTGAAATATTTAAAAACTTAATTGTACAACTGAAAAAAACTGTCAAAAAGTATAGGACTAAAAAAGGATCCATTTCAACATGGCTCAAACAATATTCTGTAAGATTATTAAGCGCAGGTTTGTTACATGCTGTTCCTTTCTAGAGATCTATAAATCTTCCGTGTTTTGTTCCTCATGGTCAATACAGTTAATTCACAATCCAGAAAGTTAACTGTTGTTTCAAATTTTGCTTTGTATTATCTTCAGAAAAACTACAATTACTACATTTACTATGTAGCCTCATTTTGTTCTTTTATGATAACAGGATTGTAGGCAGTGGTGCACTAACCATTAAACACGTGCTTAGGGCACCAGGTCCAAAGGTGGCACCACAAAGTTGAGAAAGAAAAAAAAACAATGACGAATGTACAAATGTACAAATGTACAAAGGAGGGGGTCACCAAGATTTGTCAGTGCTTAGGGCAACAGTGAATCTTAATCCGCCAATAATTGTAGGCAAAGTCTCATTGGCAAAGTGAATCCTTTTGTTTCCTGTAGTTAGGTTCTAATTATATATCGTTTACAATACATATTATTTTAGGTGGTTAAATTGATGTTTGTTCTCTACAGTTACTTAAAGAAGAAATATTTAGTCACAGTACATTGCTGGAAGCTATTGAAGTCAAAAGCACAGGCATGACCGAGCATTATGTCACTCAGCTTGAACTGCAAGACCTTCGTGAGAAATACCAGCTTCTCAAAGACAGAATAATGGTATTGCTGCGTTTACAATGCTATGTTTATTCTCCTTCACCATAAGTGTTTAGTGAGGGTGTTAAAGAAATGCCTTTGTTTCTTTGCCCACGAATTTCATAGTATTTGAACGTTTGGGTATATGTATGCATGTGTGTATATTGATATGTGCATTTCTATTAGTTAAAGGGATCCCTTTTATTAATAGTGCCCATTAATTTGATAAATTAAGTACTAAGTACTAAGACTGGCATATTAATCTCTTAGCTATTTATTTATTAATCACTGGTTTACTTAAGAACATGAAAAGCAGTAATAAACTGTCACCGTTACGTATTTGGTCAGTGTCAGGAAAGTCTGTTGATTTATACCATAACGGGATATTTTTGACAACAATAGGAAACAATAACTAAAGCTGAAGGATACGTTCACTTGCATCAAGAGTACCAAAAGAATTTGAAGGCCTTTGAAGTATGGTTGGAAAAGGAACAGGAAAAGCTCAATTCTTTATCACACCTTGAAGGTGATACAGAGCGATACGAAGCAACACTCCAAGAACTCCAGGTAGAATTATAGAATAATTTTGTCCCAATAATAATTATCTTGCAGTTTATCCTTTGTTTTCTAAACTCCACTCAATTTGGAGTCTATTAGATTCCATTTTTCAGGTACATTTTGTTTCAGTATCAATATCAAATGCTAAGGCAGCATTCTGCAAGTTTGTTAGTCTTTTGTCAGGCCGTCTTTTAATGTTTTAAATTTGTCTAGAGCACACAAAAATCTTACTTTGAGCAAATTTATATTTTTTCCAAACTAACAGCAGTCAACCATTTGAGCTTGTGATTAAAAACTACTATTTTGCGTTAATTGGCTATATTATGTAAAATTCTGATCCTTTATAGGGCTCTGCATGGTTTGAAAATAATTTGGAAATAATAATCATATTTTTCCAGGTTTGTAGAAACAATGTTACCTTAAACAATCTAGTACAAAAATCTGGTTTAAAAAGTATAATATGCAATAATTTTGCATTTCAGGAATTACAGGTACATTGTGCTGAAGGACAAGCATTGCTTAATGCTACACTTCATGCTAGAGAAGAAGTAATTCCATGGGGTGCACCCCAGTTGGAGGAAAGAGTATTGGAGTCCCTCCGTCAGGATTGGACAGTCTACCAACACAAGCTTTCTGACGTTAGGATACAACTGAATACTACTTTAAGTAGACTAAAACTGATGGAGAATAAATTTCTGAAAATGGATCAGTGGCTCAAAACTCTGGAGGAGAAAGTTAATATCAGGACTAGCCGGCAATCTGACCAAGCCACAAAGGAAATCCAGCTTCAGCAATTAAAGGTGAGGAAATTTTACAATATATGAGCACCAATAATAATTTCTTTCTGTTTATTGCGGTCATTGATAATTCATACAACTGAAATCTGACATTCATTTCTATGCAGATATCTTTATATTCTTAAGCTAAATATGATTTATTATTATTGTTTGGTATGAGCCAAACCTATTTATACATTGTATGAAATGGAGTTTAAATGGACTCCAGGAGATGGTAGAGGACAGGAAGGCCTGAAGGAATGTTGTCCACGGAGTCGCAATGGGTCGGACATGACTTCGCAACTAACAACAACAACATGAAATGGAGATATTTTTTGAAGAGAGGAGGGGAAGGAGGGATGGAGAGAGGAAGAAAAGAAATATTAAGCTTGGGTATATTAAGTGTACTTCAGTTTTGATCCACCTTATTGTCTCTTTAGTCTACCACTATACTAAGCATATAGCTATTGGAAATAAGGGCTCTCACTCTATTTTTAAAGTATTTTAAAGTTTTGGAAAAATAATAGAAATTGATTTTTGTGTCCTTTTTTCCAAACATGTTCTTTTTCTTTCTCACTACTACATCAGAATGTTCCTACTGATTTTTATACAGTTTTTAAAATACAAAGCACAGTAAGGAATCTTTATAGAGAAAAACTTACAATTGCTAAAAACAAAATAAATCTTAATTTAATTTGAGAAATGTTGATTAGTTTAGTGTGCATCAAAGTTTGCAGCAAAATGCCTTTTGCTGTGCTCCTTACCAGACAGCAACTCAGATTAACTAGGTATCTTTATATAGGCTCAAGATATAGAGAGATGAATGGGTTATGTTGATGGGAAGAATTAGAAACATTAGAAAGCAGTAAAGTCAACTATGTGAAAGTCTTATGGGTAAGAAGAAAGGGAGTTTGTATGAGTCAATGGAATAATCTTTGAATATTTGAGTACAAAGGAAATACTGTTGACAGAGTAGGCCTTTTGGATTTACATATGAGAACTGACTGATATTTGGAAAGCTAATGTACAATAAAACAGGAAAAACTCCTTCATAAAAATGTATTTAGTACTACCTATGCAATAACAAGATTCTGCTTCACCAAGTTCTCTATTTAATATCTAAAGAATGTTGTGTCTTTCCGTAATGTGTGTCCAGCAAAAATAGTCTATAAATATTCTGTAAATTAAAACCCCAGGCTTATAATTCTTGATTTTATAAATTGAGATATTTCCATATTTGTGTTATTTTTAAAAATTCTATAAATTACATTTATGTCATTTCTGAAATATTTTTAAAATATTTCTTTATATCAGAATTGGCACGAAGAAATAACAGTCTATAAAAATGAAGTTGAAGAAATTGGGTTGTTGGCGCAGCATTTCCTGGAGGAAATTCATACTTCTAGTAGAATGGGAAGACAAGCAACCCAACTTGCTTCTCGATATCAAACTCTTGTTCTTCATGTACTGGTAAATAGTGAAAATGTTCTGAAAGCATCATGTAATAATTGGAAAAGATTTAGTGATTTTTTTAAAAGATATACTTTTAAGTGCTTTATTTTTAGAAATTCTGCTTCTCTTATCTCTGTATGTCTGAAGATTTAATTATACAGCTAAATATTATGCTAAGGATCACTCATCAGCTATTAATATTCAACTGGAAAGTTAGACTAAAATTAGTTTCAGTCATTTATATTACGCTGTACTGCTCTCAATCTGCCTCTATAATTTTCATCTATTTTATAACTGATTGTCTAAGGTAAGAGCTCTAACTCTTTTTATATAAAAAGTGATAATTCAGGAAATAAAGGTAGTCCTCAACTTACAACAGTTGATTTAGTAGCTGTTCAAAGATACAGTGACACTGAAAAAAGTGACATGGCTGTTTTTTCCACTTACAATTGTTGCAGCATCCCTGTGGTCATGTGATCAAAATTCAGATGCTTGACAACTGACTTGTTTTTATGATGGTTACAATGTCCTGAGGTCATGTGATCACCTTTTGCGACTTCCTTAGAAGCAAAATCAATAGGAAAGACATTTCCACTTAACAACTAGTCTACTAATTTAACTATTGCAGTGATTTAGTTAACAACTGTGGCAAGAAAGATCATAAAATGGGGCACAATTCACTTAACAACTATCTTGCTTAGCGAAGAACGTTGGGCTCAATTATGGTTGTAAGTCAAGGATTACCTATAGAAATGGTGATTAAAAAGTAACCAATGTTTTCTGAAGAGGTCAAACTAATTCTTATAGCATCTGTGAGTTCATTGTTGCAATTTTTTCAACATATAGTTAAGACTTAAAATGTAACTGCATATGAAAGAGTTTTCTCAGGTGCATTGGTAACTCTACCTTTGTACAGTTTCCTGGCGCTATTCCTTGTAATCCAGACACTGAGAATAGATTTCTCAGCAAAGAAATACTACTTGCATACATATTATACTGTATGATCACAGAACATACAATGGAAGCACATGCAAATCTTGCATCCTTGGTCATCTGCCTACGTCAGACGAAGAGATGTGCAATATTGGGACACAACAATGTTTTGTTAGAGGTGGTATCAAAGTTCAATTAGCCTTCCAGCATGTGAGGCATTTTTACAGAAACATTGAAGGGGTGTTGAATTGTCAGCATAAACAAGGCATAATTTTGCCTTCTAAGATAGATGGTCTGTGTGAACTAAGACAGCCAGTGTTTATGTTTACATATTCCATAAGATTTGTCTAGTTTGTGTTAAGAAAGATTTATTAGCAGCAGTTGATTTCCCAACTATTTTGTGGGTTTAATAGAGTGTGAGTATCAAGAAATGGATGAATAATAAGTCTCACTTCTCATCTGCTTGCAGGAACAAATGAAATTCCTAGAAGAAGAAATTCGAAGTTTGGAAGAATCTGAACTAGCTTTCAGTGCTTACAAAGACTGGTCTGAAGCTATCCTTAGACAATTCAGAAATGTGGTGACAAAATGTGATGTAGTGGAGAGAACATTAATGGAGAAAAAAATGCAGAAACTTGAGGTAAACTCAATTGCAATTTGTCACTCCATATCTAATATAACCATACATGACATTAATGTTTATATCATAAATGTAGCACTACAGAGATGTAGAAATCTATTAACAGTAGATTTCAAACTACCTACATTAGAAAATTACTTTTGCATTATCTTTTGATTTATAGAAATACTGGATTTATAGAAATGTTTTAGAGAATGAAATACAATTAAGAATGAGATTTGGACCCTGCTATTTTGCTGTGAAATAGCAACAATACCTGGAGTGAGAGAGAGAGAGAGAACTGAAATAGTGAGGCAGATTGTTTAACACTGCTTTTTATTCAAAGAAATGTTAACAAAACTGATGAATTACTGTGATATAGCAAGAATTCTAAGATACTATTTGAAAGATGCTCTGTTTCAGTAACATAATGTTTTAGAATTTGAAATACTGATAATAGATGATATGGCATTTTCCTGAAAGCTTGTATATCTTTCCATAATTTTCAGTTTAGCCTTTTTAAAATGCTAAATAAGCATTTATGTGCAATAATTAAATTACTATAGAAGTACTGATGTGTAAAATGCTAGTTAAATTTTATTTATTTTTATTTATTAAATTTATATGCCATGTAACCTCAAAATATTCTGTTTTTCCATGATAATATATAGAAGCACATATAGGGACATAATTGGAATTATATTAATAATATGTAAGAAGGATATATTGAAAGCTACAGAAAAAAATAGATACACATGATGATGTCTTGTTACTATATCACTTCTACTCACATACAAGTATTAATTAAGAGCTGCCAACTCTGTGGCTAAATACAAGTAGAGTTAAATATTGTCCACTTTAAGCCAACTATAATCTTGTTGGCTTAAATTGCTTTACATTATTTAATTTAATGTAATTATTTTCTGATTTTGACAAAATGTTATAATTTACATATTCCTGGTTGATTGCTCATGCCTCAGAGAGAATTTGAAGTGCTCTGTGCATGATCAGAAATCCTGTTTGAATTCAGGATAAATCAAAATGTGATCAAGTGAACCAATTTCCAGCAATAGAATATCTTTGAATTTGCACAAATGGTTTATTTTAATTTTAAATATTGTGCTTTTTTGTTCATAGGATCTCATGAGTGACATGGACGTTGGTCACAGTTTGCTCAAATCCGCCCGTGAGAAGGGAGAAAGAGCTATTAAGTACATTGAGGAAAATGAAGCTGAACAACTAAAGAAACAAATCAGTGATTATGTAGAACAACTTGATGAAATGACTTGCTCTATCAGAAAAGAAAGTACAACCATAGAGAAATGTCTCCACTTAACAAAGGAATTCTTAGATAAATACAAAATACAGACACAGTGGCTAACAGATTATCAAATCATACTGCACAATACAGTGGATCCCAAAATGGAATTATATGAGAAGAAGGCACAGTTATCAAAATACAAGGTAAAGATAATGTTGTGCCTTACAAAATGAAATGATTCTTCAATTAGAAACTTAATTCTTGGTAGATATTTTCAGATATCCAGTTTGACAATCTAAATTTTACTGATGCTTTCTTATTAAATACCCATTCTTAAACATAATATTATCAATATAATCATTACAAAATTTCAGTGGTCTTCCTAAGCTGCAGTCATGCAATGTGATCCAACAAACACTTTCCAGTGTCCCTGTATTTCTAATGCTGGTTAGTGAGATTCTTTTTCCTGACTAATCTTCACATTGTGAATGTTAAACTCTTGTCCTAATAGCAATAGCAATTACACCTATATAGCGCTTGACAGTGCTTAAAAGCATTTTCTAAGCAGCTGACAGAGTCAGCATATTGCCCCCAACAATCTGAGTTCCCATTTTACCAACCTCAGAAGGACGGAAGGCTGAGTCAACCTTGAGCCAGTCAGGATTGAGGGAATCGAACTCCTGGCAATGTGAACAGAGTTAGCCTGCAGTACTGCATTCTAACCACTGGGCCACCACGGCTTTTTTTTTTGTAACTCTAAAAAGTGGAAATTTATCAAGTTTTTCTCTTTGTTTACATTTCAAAAGATCTCTAGTGTACAAATGCCACCGAATAGACTTTTTAAAAATATATATAATGGGAAAATACAAGATTCCTTCGATCATCTTCGTGTTAATATGGATAAAGTTCTGAAAGGAGTAAACTTCAAATGAGTTTATTTGTTTAATATGATATATATTTTGCTTTCTCTCCCATAAAGAGAATGTGATTTTCCATCTATATTAATTTTTGTACATTGTATTTTTTAAAAACATGTTTAACTGGATTTTAATTTTAGACAGTGCAGCAGACCATACTATCCCACGAACCTTTAATCAAATCTGTTGTGGAAAAAGGAGAAAGCCTTCTTGAATTGATCTGTGACACTAATGTAGCTAAGAATATTCAAAAACTTCAGAATGAATACCAGGAGCTCTGCAACACAGCAAAGGTATTTTTAACCAGATATACAATATTAATACTTTTTATTAAAATAATATGTTTGTAATGTGGATTGTCTACATTAATCTAACTATATTTCATTTATGAGAAGAGAGTTCTGTTTTCTGAGAGTAATTTTTGAACCACTTAAAATCCAGTTGAACCTGATCTTGTGCTGAGAAATGAGTCAACATCATATAAAATATCTTATTTAAGGTAGAAGTTTACAAATGAAATAAAAAAGTATTGTCATACTGATGACTAAGAAAACTGGGCAGTTGAACTTTTCAGAATGAAGATCTGCGACTATTCTCATTTGAAACAACTGAAAAGTATCTGATTTCTGTTAATGCAGATGCAAGTTGCAAGCTTGGAGGAGAAAGTGAAACAACATGAAGACTATAATAGTGTCTTACAGGAAGTGGAAAAGTGGTTATTGCAGATGTCCAGCAGGCTGATTACCCCTGAACTCATGGAGAACAGTGATCTAGAAGTGATAACACAACAATTAGCCAGTCACAAGGTAGCTCTATATAATCAACAACACTCTAGTAGGAGAGATGGTTACTGTAGTTTGTAGTTCAAGTAAACAACTGTTAGTCTTCTAATATTCGTAGCTGTTCTTTGAAAAGTTTTCTCAAAGATTAACAGTTGAAAATAAAATAGAAAATATATCCTATATAAATCATTTTCTATTGTTTTTTTACAAAAAACAAGACAGCAAACATTTAAATAAATCAAATTAAGATTTTGACAATTAGTTATTTTTATTACTGTCTACAGATAGGGAAACAATATACATACATACATACACATACATACATACAGGTGTACATAGAAACCATATGTATTCACTGTTTCTATACTTAAGAAAAAGACTACCACCTTCCTCAAACATTAGATGATTTTCAGTGAACATTATATGCAGTTTTTGTAATACATAAATAATCCTATATTTTTTGTTGATTAATAATGTAAATTCTTGTATACAGCTTCCTTTGTAGACTATAATCTTATACAGGTTTTTCTCATAAATTACAGAATGTTTCATTTTATTAGATTTTATGTAATGCTAACTACTAAGTTTCCTTGGTAATTAAAAAAAGGATAAAGGTGAATGAAAAGCTGTTTTTTTTAAAAAAAAATACAATATTATAAAACTATAAGCCATAAAAAGCTTATTCATGTATTTTTAAAAAGCTTTCAAAAATGAACAAATGAGTTAGGGTTCCTGATAATATTTTTAGAATTATCTGATCAGTACATAAATAACTTCATAAACTAGGAAGATGACACTTAGCAATAGCACTTGGACTTATATACCATTTCACAGTGCTTTACAACCCTCTCTAAGTGGTTTTATAGAGTCAACATATTTCCCCCAATAGTCTGGGTCCTCATTGTAGCGACCTCAGAAGGATGGAAGGCTGAATCAACCTTGAGCTAGTGAGAATCGAACTGCCAAACTGCTACCTATAGCAGAAGTAGCCTGCAATACTGCATTGTAACCACTGCACCACCAATGATTCCTTTAGGTACAAATTCTCTACTCAATGCAGAAATTTAAGTATATCTTTTACAGTCTCTGCTCCAATACTCCTGTAACATATTGTTAAGCATTTTTCCATTAGCATTCAATTGTAATGTATTTTCCTGTCATTTAAGAGCATTCTGATCTACCTGTAATGTAAGACTACATCATAATGTTTTAGGCAACGATGGAAGAAATAGCTGGATTTGAAGATCGCCTGAACATCCTTAAGAGCAAGGGAGACTCTTTAATCAAAGAGTGTGCAGAACATCTCCAAGCAAAATTTAAACAAAATATAGAAACCCAGCTGCAGGGAACGAGAGATAGCTATTCAGCCATCTGTAGCACAACTAAAAAAGTAAGCATCAATCTTTTAATACTTAGTAGGGGATACAGGAACCAAGTGGTGGCAATTAGGTAGAAGCTGGCTCAAAATAAGTAAGATACTGAGATAGTTTATTAACAGTTTCTGAAAAATGAATTTAATAACAATTGGGGGGGGGGGACTTTGAAAACATTTACAAAAGTAGTCCCAAAGTTGCTTTTTGGAAGGACAACTGGACTTCGTTTTTTCTTGAAGACGTTTTGCTTCTCCTCCAAGAAGCTTCTTCAGTCTTCAAGGAAAAACAAAGTCTCAAAGGTGCTTTTGAAAAAGCACCTTTGAGACAACCATGACCTGGATGGCTGAGAATCTTCATAGACATTTACAAAAGTAGAATATTGCAAGACAAACTGAGGAATAATGTATAGGAAATATACATTTTATATTAATTAGTGTTAATAAATATTCAATGATTTCTACAGTCCAGACTATATTTTTGGCCAAGGGCCCATTTTCAGTTAGTAAGATCATTAAAATTAAAGGAATTCTTACTTCTTCTTATTATTTCTTGTAGGTGTATCAAAGTTTGGAGCATGAACTCCAGAAACATGTTAACCATCAGGATACTTTTCAGCAATGCCAAGCTTGGCTCTGTACAGTTTGTCCAGAGTTAAAGGCCAATCCTCATCGACCTTCTAGTTCAGCAGATGCCATTAAGCAGGTATCAGCAGTCTAAATGGAAATATTCCTCTCCTCTGTACTTCTTTCTACTCCCCTCCACTCTCCCCTCCTCTCCTCTTCATTATCTACTCTAACCTTCAGTCCTGTAATTTTCCAATATCTCCTAGCCAAGAAATTAAGTTTGACCTTAATTTTTTTTTCAACAGCCAACACTACTTATTTGAGCTGTAGGTTCATTTTAAAGAGTTTTTTAAATATCAGCAAGGGCACAGGGAGTATATTCCAGAGATTGATAAACTCATTAGAAGTGTCAACTCTGCTTTCCTGGGAGGCAGGGATGACGTCGCAATGGTACGGCGTGCAATCTTGGAGCTCCAGGATCGCCATCGCTACCTCTGCTGCTGGACTGTCCTTTTGGACCTAAACCGTCCCTTAGAGATGATGATAGAGAAGGGCACATCCGGCTGATCCCAGGAACATTGCAAAGTCCCTGGTAGATCCAGGAGAAGCCCTTTTTTCCAGCCACAGAGAAGCAGCCATTAAAACTGCTGAAAGTTGGGACATCTCCAGAATGGAAGGAAAGAGGGAGAGAAAGTGTGTCTGATTGGTGAGATAAATGTTATTATTAGAGAAGAGAATACCCAAACAGATCAAAAGTAAAATTAAAATTGAAGACAGAAGAGGTTAAGCTGCGAGATTAAGCCTGAGTCAAACTTAGCTGTATTATTTTTTTCTTTTTAATCCTTTTATTGATGGAATTTTTACAAATGCTTCTTATTTTTTAAATTGGATGGTTTTTTTCCTCCTTCTAATTTTCTTTTTTTAATACTTATTGTTTAAGACTTTCTTTCTTTTTCAACATTCTATTGCATTTCCTTTTTAAGAATTTTTCTTTTTTTCTTTAAGTTTGGAATATAAAGAGAAAAGTAAAAGTAGACGAAAAGAAGTAACATTGCCACTTGGAGGCTTGGAAACATTGTTTTTCTTTTCTTTCTTTGAGCATTTGATCTACATTTCAAGGTCTCTGTGCTTGTTTATTGAAAATGATAGCAGGATGAGCACATATTGTTTATACAGGTGTTCCTCCTGGGTACTATCAGTAGCTGGATTGGAATGAAAAGAAAGCTTTGATTTGAAAGAAAGAAGATTGCAGTGAACTTGTTTGGAACTTAATNCCCCCCCCTTACTTTGGTTTGTGAGCCGCCCTGAGTCCCTCTGGGAATAGGGCGGCATAGAAATGCAATAAATCAAATCAAATCAATCAAATTAGTTAGTATATGTTCATTCGGTAGCTATGGACAAATAGGAAAAGGACCTATGCCAATCTCCAGAATTCCTTTTATTTATTACATGGACCTCTAACTTTTTTGCACTTTCTGTACACAGATCTATATTTAAAAATAAACTTTGAAGTCCGTTGTTGTAGAGTTTCAGGTGAATAGAGGCAAGAAGACAAAATAAAAGATGTTTCTCCTTCCAACAATAGCTGAGCTGCTGAGTCTAAAGGCTCATTGGAATGAATTTCATTAATAAATTAACTTGTTTCTTCCTTTTCCAACTCTAAGGTGAACACTTGATGCTATAATGGTGAAATTATATGTGAGTTTAATATTATGAACTCTGCAGGTATATGTTGTAAGTCAAAACATACACACACATAGTACTTTGCAATAAGAATCATGTATAAGATGAAAAAGTTTTCTCTAAAACTTTCTCTGTAATACAAATATTTACTATGCACTGTTGTATTTGCTTAACAGATCTGATGCTGAGAGTACAGCTACACATCTTGAGGCTTTGAAAAAGTTGTCAGTGACTCTGCAGGACAAACGGCTTGCTCTTGAAAACTTAAAGGAACAGAGGCAAAAAGTGACTGAACATATAAATTTGGATGATAGGGAACTAGTCAAAGAACAGTCAGGATACTTTGAGCAGTGCTGGATCCAGCTGGAGGACCAAGTCAAGAGGAAAATACAACTGTCGGTCACCACATTACAAGAGTTGAGTGTTGTGCAAGCCAAGCTTCAAGAATTAATGGAGTGGGCAGAAGAGCAGCAACCTAGCATCTCTGTAGCTCTTAAACACAGCCCGCCTCCTGAGCTGGCTCAAAATTTTCTCATGGATCACCTCACTCTTTGTAGTGAGGTAGAATCCAAGCAGCTTATTTTGAAAACATTAATAAAGGATGCTGATAGGGTGAAAACTAATTTAGGGCTTCATGAAAGACAGATGCTCCAAAAAAGTCTATCAGATGCCCAAAATCATGTGGATTTCCTTAGTGATCTGGTTTGGCAGAAAAAAAGGCACTTAAATAAGACATTATCTGACAGGACTCAGTTCTTCCTAGCAGCCCTTCAGGCCATGAATCAAATTAAACAATATGAGAAAAAGGTAATATGCCATGAACATATCTCTCTGCTACCAGAAGATGTGAGTAAACAGATCAGGTCTTGTAAGAGTACACAAGCCAGCCTTAAGGTCTACCAGAGTGAAGTCTCTGGACTGTGGTCTCAGGGCAGGAACCTTATGAAGGAAACAACAGAAGAAGAGAAAAGTGAAGTGTTGGATAAACTACATACACTGCAAAACATGTATGATACTATTTTACAAAAATGTGGCCAGCTATTAATGGATCTGGAAAGACATGTAGTTTCTAGGAAATACTTCAAAGAAGATTTGGATAAAGCATGCCACTGGTTAAAGCAATGTGATATTGTTTCATTCCCAGAAATCAATTTAATGAATAATAACACAGAACTTTATTCTCAATTAGCTAAGTATCAGCAGATTCTTGAAGAGTTTCCTGAATATGAAAATCTTTTGTTGATAGTTCAGAAAGATGGCCAGGAAATTTTACCATCACTTAATGAAATGGATCGATCCTATCTCGAGGAAAAACTCAGTGCCTTGCCTCAACAATTTAATATGATCATTGCTTTGGCTAAAGATAAATTCTGTAAAGTCCAAGAAGCAATTACAGCCCGTAAAGAATATGCATCATTACTTGAACTGACAACAAGGGCACTGTCTGAAGTGGAAGATCAGCTTGTAAATTTGCGTAAAACCCCCTCTACTCTTACAGCTAAAGAAGTTGTGTCACTGATGGAGGATTACAAAAATGTCCTAAGTGAAGTCATAAGCCTTTGCAGTGCCATAGATGAATTAAACCAGAAAAAGGAAGCCTTTCGAAGCACTGGGCAGCCATGGCTACCAGAAGAGATGTTAACGCTTGCTACACTGTATCACAAATTAAAAAGGCAGATAGAACAGAAAGTTAACCAATTGGAAGACATGATGGTGGCTTATCAGGAACATGAAGAAATGTGTAAGCAGCTTGAGATGAAACTAAATTCCATAAAAGAAAAAGAAGCAGAAGTAAATGAAGAAACCCTTCCAGCTGAGGAAAAGCTAAAAATGTATCATTTCCTAGCTGGTAGTCTTCAGGATTCTGGAATCCTTTTGAAACATATTGCTGAACATCTTGAAGGACTTTCGTCCCAGCTTGACCCATCTGTTCATGAAAGAGCTGATCATCAAGTGCGAAATTGGCAGGAAATACTGAAGGTATTGCACACTGCCATTGGGGATAAAGTGGTGGAGTGTGAAAACAGGCTGGTAGAGAGCATAGATTTTCAAACTGAAATCTGTCGCTCTTTGGATTGGCTGGGACACATCAAAGCAGACCTGAATGAACCATTAAACATGGATGTAAAACTGAACAGCATTCAAGAAGAGATTCGCACAGTTCAGATCCAACAGGAAGAAGTACAATCCAGCCTAAGGATAATGAGAGCACTAAGCAATAAAGAAAAGGAGAAATATATGAAAGCCAAAGAACTGGTTCCTGTGGACTTGGAAAACAGCCTTACTGAGCTCTCTGAACGCAACAGTGAAGTCCAGGAAGCGATACAAAAGAGGCAGGTCAGTATGTCCTGCATTCCTATTGTTAATTATTTACCACAACATAATGAAAGTGGAATACAAATCTGTTCAGGCTGCATTTCAGTGATACATACATAGGTGCCAGATCTTCATTATAATCTAAAGCAAAAAAAAAGATGAAATAAAGATTAAAAATGGCTCAAATTGGTGTTCTCATTCTGCACCTTAAGCCTAGAAAACATAATAACAGAGTTGGAAGGGTCTTCTAATCCAAGCCCCACTCAAGCAGGAAATCCTATTCACATTATTCACATACATGTTTTGAGTAAATCATTGTTACACATAGACAATTTTTTTCATCACAGGAGATAATGTTATCTCTATAGTGAGAAATATGACAACTTCATAAATTGCATTTCTGAAAATTCTTGCCACAAGATTTCTGGGATAACACTTTAATATATTTTTGTTATCCCTGTTTTCACTGTGGAATAAATGTCAATACCAGGCCAATAATTTAATTATAAACTTGTTTCATAGGTTATATGCTCTAGGACAGTGTTGGCAAACCTTTTCAGCACCGAGTGCCAGAAACTGTAAGAGCAGCTGCCCGCTGCACATTCGTGGACTGGGAAGATGATCTTCTGGTTTCCTGGTTGTCCAGTTTCTGGCTCACATGCACACGTGAAGACCAAGCATACCAGAAACCAGAAGATCATCTTTCCGGTGCATGCATCCGCACCGAGTGGCTGTTCTTCCGATATCCAGCACATGCATGCACATTGGCCAGCTGGTCTTTGCGCATGCATGCGCACCAGAAACCAGAGGACCAGGTGAGCTGTATGCATGCGTGCCCTGGAAACTGGAAGATTTCTTGCCAGCATGCTCTTGCACACTGGGCAGCTGCTCTGCTCTTCCAGTTTCCAGTGCTCCTGCATGTGTGAAGACTAGCTGGCCGGTGCACTGGAACCTGGAAGAGCAGAAAGCAATAGCTCATGTGCCCAGAGAGATGGTTCTGCCTGCACTTCTGGCACTCGTAGCATAGGTTCGCCATCACAGCTTTAGGATCACACCTTTATTTAGGACATCATGAAAGCTTTTAATACCTTAAATGAGAAAAGGAAATATGTTTGAATGGCAGTTTCTACTTTGTGGTCTTGGGCATCCATGGACTTTTCCAGGATCTTAAACTTCTTTTGGAATATTAATGGATTTATTTAGTGAATCATACAATTAGATAAACATTCCCTTTATGAAGTCCAGCACAATATCCTGATGTATAGTATTCTGGAATAATTTGTTGATTGTAGAATTCTAGTTTGTGTACCCTTTTGCTGAACCCTGAATTAGGGTTATTGTTGTTATTATTCATATATGTTGTTTGTGTTGTATTATTTTGTTTGTTTTCAGGAAAATTTGAGTAAGTTATACAGTCTTTGCCAAAGATACTACCAAGTTTCCCAGACTGCTAACAACTGGCTTGAAGATGCTCAGGTATTGCTCCAATTTGCACAAAATGGCCTTGATACAGAGAATTCAGAAGAAAACCTAAGAAACCACATAGAATTTTTTAACACTGAAAAACAGTTCCAACTCCATTTGAAAGAAGTGAAGATGCTTGTGTCTGACATGGAGCCATTCATTCAGACCCTCAGAAAAGAAGATCTGGAGGAGAAAGTGAGGGCTTTAGAAGATAAGAGCATAGAAATAGAACAAGAAGAACAATGTCAGAAAGAATTATTACAAAGGTACCTTTTATTCATTCTGTTTCAGCCCTGTGGTTTTTGGTGTACACAGAAGTAACATGTACAAACCTATCTTGATGGAACTTTCACAAACATGGACCTTCACAGATATACATTATACAAGCACATGCCTTCTCTCTCTCTCTCTNTACTGGATGGTTTTAGGATGATGTAATGAAATGCCATAATATAAATTTATTCTAAATTTAGAATATTTCACATAAAAGGAATAATAGTTATAGTCAAGTAAATGTTTAATAATGATAATAATTGTATACATATATATTAGATTGATAATATGAGATTCTATATAAATTGTAAGTGAAGACTATGGTAAGGAAGTATAAAAGTTTTGTAACCAATCAACACACTGTATATAACTGGAGGATGGTTTTTATGTTTTATGTTTGTTTGTTTAAAAATAAAAAAAATAAAATAAAAAGAAGTGTCAACTCTGCTTTCCCAAAAGACAATCTTAGGTCAACTGTATATGAACCTCCTTGAACAAACTCAATGAATAGGATAAACATATGATATCATCTCAGCCATTGTGCATTACTCTCTCACTCTTACTGTATATTATAGGGGCCCCAGATTCTTAACAAATGTTAAGCAGGTCCTTTGGTCATCGAAAACCTCTTCATTCCTGCCCTAGTGATCTGAAAACAATCGCTAAGCAAAACAAGCTCACTTGTTTATGGCATTTGTTAAATTGATTATGTTATAACTAATAAATGTGATAAAGACATACAAACAGAGAGAAATGTCCATGATAACTTAATGCTTATTTTACTAGCTACTTTTAATATGAGATCATTTTTCCAAAATGATATTTTTGGCTATTTACCAAACTTCAATCTTTAAAATATGATGCTTATAAATTTAACATGGAATAGATCCATGAAACTTAATGGCATTTCTATTGCCATTAATAATTGTTCTAAGTTTACTCTGTGGATATAAAAGTGACATTTTTCTTTTAGCAGAACAGACTTCAAAAGATAATATTTCAGATTACAATGCTATGAAGACTGGGCTTTATTAAGACCTACAGAAAGAGACCATACAGTGGATTGCTGTGTTCAGATGGAAAATAGTGTGTTTAGACAGTCAGACTGTTGTTTTTAATTCTGCAGTAAAAAGCAAAATTGTCCTTTTTCTTCAGTGAAGCCAATAAATGATTCAAACCTCAGTTGGGTAATCCATCAAAAGATACATTACACAGAGAGAGAGGTAGAGAGAGGGGGGGGAGAGGGAGCGGGGAAAGGAGAGAGATAGATATCTGTTGAAGTCAAAGTTACTTTTAATTAAAAAGCTAAATGTAATCTGAACTATTCATATTTTTAATGTTGTGCACAATGCAGATACATAATCAATACAGAGTCCCTGGGTTACTTTATTAATATTTACATAAATAAATGAGTCATTTATATTAATACCATGAGCAGTTTATTATTTTGCACTATTTTTTTAAAGTAGCAATGTTGCTATGTTTTATAACTTTCAAAGCATTTTCAGGGGAAATTGAAAATCTATGTTTTGTTGATAAACTTTTCTTACTCTTTTTAGGTTAAACATTTTAGAGCCCTGCAAGAGCAGGCAAACACCTATCTGGATCTATTATGCTCCATTGATGATTTATCAGACAGCACAATAAAAAATGCAGCAACAGATATTCAAGTAGCAAAGCAAACGGTATGGGATAAACTATAACAGCTGTTTGTAATTCTTCTTAGACATGTAATTATGTTTTTTACAGGTTCATATTAGGTAATACTGGTTTGAAGAGTTGACTACTGTACTTCAATTAACAAAGGAGATTGTATGGGATAAATGGTAGCAGCTGTTCTCTCATTCTTCTTAGACATGTGATTATCTTACTTTCTCACTAATTAAGTAATAAAGAAACAGTCATGCTTGCAGTGGTTGTTTCCTTCAGAATGAAAGATAATAAAGAAAGAGGAAAGAATATAACTCGGGACAGAATTCAAAGATATTCATGTGTTATGTTTTAATTCTTTTAGAAAATCTGTTGTTTCCTGACAATGAGCTTCATCTGACTTATTAAGGATGCTACATTAATTTACATTTTTTTTCAGATTGAATCTGTATTGATGTTTAACTGTTATTAAGGATGGTTACAACTGTTTTGTATAGAATTTGTGTGCATAGAACTCATATAACATGAGCATTAGAGACTTATGCATGCTCTGTTTATCTTCCACTCATATAGGTTGTCTCCCCACCCCCTTCTAATGTAAATCTCCTGACCTACATAAATGGATAGTGTACCTCTAAGACAGCTCTGAATTAATTACATTAAAATATTTCCATTATTCCTCCCTGTATTTTCCAGATTGAAGATAGGATAATGAACTCCCAGTATCTTGCTCAGGGCTGGGAAGAAATAAAGCAAATGAAAGAAGAACTTTGGATTTATTTCCAGGACGCAGAACAGCAGCTACAGAATATGAAGAGACGGGGGGCAGAGCTGGAATTAAATATTGCTCATAATATGGTTTTACAGGTGAAGGTAAGGAGAATCTCTTATTTTATTAACAAGAAATACATAGTTAATAGCTTACTTATGAGATTGCCTGGCCTCTTTGTGACAATAGAAAATTAACCAGCAGTAACATTTTTAAAGCTCACCTGAAAAAGACCACTTGCTTTAATGAACTGCAGCAAAATTGCTGCACTTCAGAAACCGAGACACTTTTCTTACAATTCATTTGAAACATGCACCTTTCTGTTCTATATTATTTATTTTGAACAAATGGAGGCACTTGGAAAGAATAGGAACAGGAATAGCATTTTATCGTTTAGGTTATATTATTTTTAGAAGTGACAGAATTGAAAAGCATTTTTTAAAATTATGTAACTGAATTTGTTTCCCTAAAATCCAATATAATCCGTAAAATAAGAGATTCTCGAGTTAAAATAAAAAAGATGCAAGAAAATAAAATTTCAGGAAATAAATTATAAAATCAAGTACCTAAAATTCCAAGTGCATTATGTTGCAATTACAGTTACTCATCCAAAAAATTCTGAAAATGGAATATATACAACAGTATAGTCCAGCATTAAGATATTGAATTAGTAGGAAGAACGATCAAATGATCACATGGAACCTATTCAAGGAAGAAAAACTATTTACAGCAAGCAGAAGGGTTCAGCATTATTGCTAAAGAGATTTAGTATTTGGGAATCTATTTAACTAAACGAATATATAATTAAAGAATATGTGTAAAAATAACTACTTCCAGACCTGGAATATATTTCTAAAATACTTCTCAAGTATGACATTAAGACAGGGCATGGCAAACTTTTTCTGTACTATAAAACAGTGACCCCAAACCTTTCCAGCTCTGCAGAGAGCCAGCGGTGGCAATGAGGGTGGGGAGAGGGGATTGTTCTGCACAAGTGGCAGGTGCACATGCACATGAGCAACTCCATTTGCACAAGTGGTGGGCATGCTTGCTCACCCCTTGCACGGCCCAATGAGCCGCACCCTGGAACTGGGCCATAGCCTGGAGGTTGGGGATCCCTGCTGTAAAGGGCTAGATCCAACCCTTCCTTCAACTCTACAGTTGTATCTGGCAAGTTTGCAGTCCAAGGAGTGTGGCAGCCCTTGGGCAGTGTCAACCAACAGCAAGGAGGCCATTGATAGACTGTTGCCATTACCCAAGTTACTCCAGTCCTCAGCCCCTTTCCTTGACCTTGAGCTCAGCTGAAGCTTGGGCATGGGGATGACCTGCTCATCTACCCACTCACTCTTAGTTCTCAGGCAATACAAAAACAGGTGGTGGAACAGATTTGGTCTACAAGCTATAGTTTGATAGTTTCTGGACTATGATAGAGATGAGTCAAATGCTGATGGAAGGATCAGTTGTCTTAAATGGCATTGGGTTTCCTGCTTGAACAGGAATTGGACTAGAAGACTTCCAAGATCCCTTCCAACTCTATTATTCTGTTATTTTAAAAGTCTTACCATTTTGCTGCCAAAGGAGTCAGCAAAACAAAAAATATTATAATCTCTTGAAAGGGATAAATGAATTTGCCTTAATTCATGGCTTTGTCATAGAATCTGAAACATAATTCAGTAACCCTTTTTAAATGTTAACAGAATTCTTTCTTGCTATTTTTTTTGTATCTCCTAATATTAAGGACTTCAGCCAGCAGTTGCAGTCTAAACAGACAGTTTTGACTGCAGTGACTGAAAAAGTGAGCAAATTGACAGAAGGGCAGGAGTCACCAGAACACAAGGAAGTAGGGCGCTTGAGCAACTATTGGCTTGATCTTTGCCTTCAAACCAGCAACGTGCTCTTACGTAGAAAAGAAGATTTTCAGAGAACAACAGAATATCATGATTGTTTAAATGTGGTAGAAACGTTTTTAGAAAACTTTACACAGGAATGGGATCACTTGGCAAGGTAAGGATGGTCTCCTTGCCTTATTTTTGACAGATGAAATCAAGTTGAACTACGGCTGTGCTTTGTTACTTGATCAGCATTAAGAATTACTAGGAATTCGTATTTTTCCTTTTAACTTCTATCTCAGCACGTTTTATTATACTGTTCCGGTACAGTGCTCCGGAGGGTCCACCTGCCCGCGCTCCTTACCTGTATTTGAGCTGTTTGGGCCTTCCGCGCATGCGCACAGAGCATACAGTGCCTGCGCGACACTCCACCGAGCAGCTGGAGCATTGCGGAGGCATTGCAGAGCATCGCGGGCAGTAGATACACATGTGCGCGCAGCGAGCGTGTGCACACAGCAAGTGTGTGCATGTGGTGGACGCCCAGCCCCATTGCACCATACCGGTTGCACCGGGATCCAGAACCCACCACTGCACCAGTGGTAGGGAAACCTGGCAATCACTCTCCTTAACTGAGATGGGGCTGGCAAGGTTAGTTTTGACCATCTCACAAGGGCATAGCTCCTTTGTAATAGCTCCTTTACAACAGATTCCTAGAGCTGGGAGGTAGCAGAACCAGGGAAGTTGT